TGGGGAGCCCAGCACTGGACACAGCACTGCAGATGGGGCCTCAGTGGGGCAGAGCAGAGGGGGAGGAGACCCTCCCTCGCCCTGCTGCCCACACTCCTCTGAATGCACCCCAGGAGACCATCGGCCTTCTGGGCAGCCAGGGCACGCTGCTGGCTCATGGTCACCCTGTCGTCCCCCAGCACTCCCAGTCCCTCTCCGCAGAGCTGCTCTCCAGCAGCTCAGCCCCAACCTGTGCTGGTGCCTGGGGTTGTTCCTCCTCAGGTGCAGGACCCTGCTCTTGCCCTTGTTGAACCTCATCAGGTTTCAGCTCATACAGGAACGGTTGGAGTCACCCAGCTTTGGACACCTACAACTCACTGACTGATGCTTTAAAACCTCATTTGAAGAGATGATTTTGCATAGTCCAATTACATTCACTTTTACACACTTACATGACAGCAGAGTATTTTAGTTAGACAAGCAGCTAATTAGGCATGGATTGCAAAGGCTTCCCTCAGAAGAGCTCATTCCACCCCAAACCCCAGGCAATTACGTGAAATAAAGTGTGATGACAGAACCCTCAAAGAAAAAGGCGGCTCTGAACACACCAAAAACAAATCCCAGCCACACCGGCGGCTAACGCCGAGAAAGTGGGAGCTCTGGATCCGGGACCGAGTCAACACTTCGGCACAGACACTGTTAACTCCTCTGCTCAGCTTCAGAACAAGAGCTTTGAGGAGTACCATCAGCTCCACTTTCTAGGTGGTCAAGACATTACACCAGCTCACAAGCTGTTGCCCAGCTCTGGAGCCCCCAACATAAGGAGGACATGGAGGTGTTGGAGCGGGTCCAGAGGAGGCCACGGAGATGATGCGAGGGCTGGAGCACCTCTCCTCCGAGGACAGGCTGAGGGAGCTGGGGCTGCTCAGCCTGGAGAAGAGAAGGCTCCGGGGTGACCTTAGAGCAGTTGCCAGTGCCTGGAGGGGCTACAGGAAGGATGGAGAGGGGCTTTGCACAAGGGGGTTCAGTGACAGGACAAGGAGGAATGGCTGTAAACTAAAAGAGGGCAGATTTAGATGAGATATGAGGAAGAAATTCTTCCCCATGAGGGTGGTGAGGCCCTGGCCCAGGCTGCCCAGAGAAGCTGGGGCTGCCCCCTCCCTGGCAGTGCTCAAGGCCAGGTTGGATGGAGCTCTGATCACCCTGGGCTGGGGGAAGGGGTCCCTGCTCCTGGCAGGGGGGTTGGAACCAGATGATCTTTAAGGTCCCTTCCACCCAAATCATCCTTTGATTCTATGATTCTATGAAACAGGCAGGTTCCAGCTCTTTGCAAGCATCCTCCGGTCAGCAGAAGGACCATGCAGGCCCACCAGCGAGTTCGCACAGCCTGGACACCAGACAGAGCGGCCTCAGGCAGAGCTCGAAGGGCAAACAGCGGGCTGGTCCATGCCCTAACGCTTGGGAATTTATGACCTCGAAGACTAACGATCTGCAAAACAACCCTGGTGATCAAAAGCAAACTTAATGCCCACACAGACACCTCTGCCTGAAGGCCATGTCCCATGCCCTCACACCGGTCAAGTCCACCAACCATCTCACATCCTTCTCCATCACCGCCCTTCAGTGGGCCTCAAGTTGCATCAGGGGAGGTTCAGACTGGAGATTGGGAAAAATGTCTGTGCTGAGAGAGTGGTCAGGCCTTGGGCCAGGCTGCCCAGGGCAGTGGGGGAGTCCCCATCCCTGGAGGGGTTCAAACACCGTCTGGATGTGGCACCTGGGGACATGGTTTAGCAGCCATGGTGGTGTTGGGTTGGCAGTTGGGCTTGATGACCTTAGACGTCTTTTCCAACCTTAATGATTCCATGTCTCAGCAGAAAGCTAGATGGACCGCTGAACAGCACCCTAGGCATGCAGGAACACCCACTGAACAGAAGTTTAAAAAGAAAAAACCACGCCACAGATAGATGAACTTGCTCCTCTTTCCCGATGTTTGGTGCCTTCGCTATCACACAAGCCTGCCCTGCTCAGCCACGTCCCTCCAGAAGATGCTCACCTTGGCTATCTAAAGCACTCGGTAGCTTCTCTAGCCCTCGGCTGCGGGTCTCTGCCTGCAGTTCCACGGTGCTTTAAACCAACAACCCGCTCTTTGAGAAAGACTGGCCACCCTTGCTCAAAGGCAAGGCAGGATGACAGCGTCAGGGAGTACTTGCTTATGAAACCGGAGCCACCAACAGTCCCACTGCAATAGAATCCACCACACCACAGCCCACCGGCTTCGGACGGTCCTGGAGATCTGTGGCAGAGATGGATCTCTGGCTCTTGGACCATCCTTGGTGGCTCTCTGCTGAACTCCTGTTTATCAACGTCTTTCTCATACTGGGGAACCCAATCCTCCAAATGTGGTCTAACCACGGCTGGGCAGTGGGAGGACAATCAGAGATGCTGAGCCACCTTAAATTCACAGCGACTCCAACACATCAAACCACGAAAACGTAATATTGGAGCTCCTGGTCATGCAAGCCAGAGGTCCACGTGCCAACCTGACGCTGCTTGATCACATCGAGCAGCAGATATGAAGCACTACAGAAGCCATCAGATTTCTCAACCATTTGCAAAGGAGAAGATCTCTGTAGATGTATCCCTGGACACACTCCATCGCGGATCAGTGGCTTGCGGCGCCCATCATGACATTTCTGTCACTACACATTAAAGAGCAGCAGCCACCAACCAGAAAAGCTGCACACATTTGAGCCTCTGCTCCCCTCCTTTTTCCCCAGTATTAAGAAAATATCACTCTTGATATCCTCAGCATCCTAAAGGAGGGAGGAAACATGGGACATTTCCTAAAACTACGTGGCACGCCTTTGTGGGTAACTCAAGGTGACCAAGTCCCATCACAACCAGACTCTGCCACAGACTAACTTGGGTGGGAAGGGACCTCAGAAGGTCTCTGGTCCAACCTCCTCTCAAAGCAGGGTCAGCTCTGGGGTCGGACCAAGCTGCTCAGGGCTTTGTCAAGACCTGACTGATCTCTGCAAGCAATTCTCTCCGGAATGGAGACCACACCACCCCCCTGCACAACCCGTTTCAGTGTCTGACCTCCTTATATCCAGTTGAAACCTCTCGTGCTCCACCTTACGTCTCTCTGACTCCCACCACGCATCGCTGAAAAGCCTGTCTGTATTCTTGATGACCTCCTCGTAGATATTGTAGGGCTGATGGGAGGTCCCACCAAAGCCTTCTCCTCTCCAGGCTGAGCAAGCCTGGTTCCTTTCAGCATCTCCATGGGGAAAATGCTCTGGCTCTTGGACCATCCTTGGTGGCCCTCTGCTGAACTCCAGTTTATTGATATCTTTCTCGTACTGGGGAACCCAGTCCTCCAGATGTGGTCCAACAACTGCTGGGCAGCAGGAGGACAATCACGTCCCTCCATCTGCTGCCTGTGCTCCTGTTCATAGAGCCGGGACGCTGCCGGTCTCTGCCGGTCTCTGCCGGCTCAGGCTCTCCTTGCTGGCCACCACAACCCACGGGGTCTTTTCTGCAGTCCTCCAAGGTATGGGACTTTGTACTTGCCCTTGTCAAATTTCACAACTAAATTTCAATTTCCCCACCCCGCCTCAGCCCTCCGCAACGGCAGCCCTGCCCTCAGACGTATCGACGGATAATACGCAGATAACGGACGCGGCACGAACGTACTGCTGCTGGCATCGGTTTTGGTCCAGCTCACTTGGATATGAGGAGTGGGCATGGCAGGCAACACGAGAACGCCATCACTGAAAGCAACAGCTGGGCACAGGCTGAGAATCCAAGACGTGGTAACCTCTTAGCATCAGAAGCGGGTCAGGAGCTACAGGACTGGTGCTGTCAAGAGACAAAACGCTGTTGGGTTTGCAAACAGCCCCAACCTCCCCGCTTGCAGACTCTCCGCCATTGGTTCTGCGCCAATGCTGAGCTTCTAGGAAACTTCAGCTTGGAGCTTCCAACGCGAGCGCAGCAGGCAGACACCCAGCCAGCAGCTCTGCTCCATCCTGCGCGGCAGAATCCCGTCTGGGGGTACGCACGGTCTCAGCCCGAGCAGAGCAGCTCGGAAGCACGGCCAGCTGGAGCTCCCGGCGGGACAAGGGCACCCCATCAAGCAGAAGTCAAGATGAGGAGCTACTG